TGCTTTGTTACTCTTTTGACACCAGTTCRGTTCAAGGCAGGTTATGACCACCACTGCAAACATTTTTCTTCTCAGTATCCATAAATCAGATCAATTAAAAAAATGAGGAGAAATGTGCTTCTTCAGGTAGCGGAGTGGCCAGATGTTTTTGCCTTAATATTCCACAACTGCGAAATTACTTGAGGAATGGAGAGTTGGTTTCAGTTTGTTGGCCTTTTTTCCCTCTGAAAAGTTATGTATTTTATTCAGATACCACAGGCCAGGTGAATGAAGTTCTATCAGAAAAGAACTTTCAAAAATGCGCTATGAAGAAGGAAAGTTCCTTAGCTCACGGAGCATTCTGGAGGTTAGCTTTTGTGGTTGCTCATTTCTGACACAGTTCCTATATTAGCTGAAGTGTACACAGACAGGCTCTGCTGGCCTAAAAAAAATAGTGCAGAGAGGTTATAGCTCCGTCTCCCCTGACTTGGTGAAAGGAAACGAACCCTGCTCCAATATGGTCAGATTGTTACCTATGTTATCAGAAAGAACAGTCTTCTCAGGTGTACCACATCTTCCATTCACTTCCTCTCACAGAGTCACAGCCAGTCATCCTTTGTACTAGTCCATATTCATACACACAGTGCAGTATTTTTCCACTGTGCTAGGTTGATTAAGGAGATGACAGAGATGCAGAGTTTCTCTCCTACTCTCCGATGTCCCAGGGAGGCATACAGAACTGAATGATATCCTTGGAGCAGAATAATTATCTAATTTCATGCTATCTCATAATTAAAAAGGAAAATTTCTGTATATCAGTGCTATGATGCAGAATCAAGTTAAGAAAAAAATCCCAAAAAACTGTTGAAGAAATGCTGCTGAGAAATATGCAAAAACTACTGTTAAGTTGCATCTTTGGCCTTGTTACTGGGTGATCATTGACTGCAATCTCGACGTATTCCAACCTGTCAATAGGCTTATCCCAAAGGGAACTGCCAAGAAAACCTGAGCATGCAAAGGACTCCACGACAACCTCTTCAAAGACAGAACAGAAGACAGGATGTCTATCAATAGTGAGGCAGTCTGTCAGCATCAAAAACTGATTTCCTAGGCAATTATCACCTTAAGACAGGAGGCTGTCTGTGGAGCAGGCAAGATCAAAGGGACATTAAGCACATACTAGGTTTCATGAGACAAMACAGATGCATTCTTCCATAACGGGAAGACATAATAACTCTTTAAAAGGAGCATAAATAGGTATCCGCAGCCACATCTGAACGAACATTATACTATTAACACTGAATGTCAATTAGACATATTTCTTTGATTTAATATTGGTTTAAAACAACCAGTTTAATGGGAGGAAATTACAATAAASATTAGAGACCAACAAGAAAAACTAGGGATGATACAAGACTCTTGACATTGGGAGGGTAATTTATTCTATGTTAAGTGTCTTCGAGGGGTCAGGTGCACATTTTTCTCCATTGTGAACGGACCACAAGGTAACCAGCTCAGATATACCGGTCAACATTTGGCATGTCTAMAACACATGGGTATCCCATGTGAGGGGTATCCCACCTCACGTATTATCTAGCTGATTCTCTATCCTGAGGAAATGGTTAGAATGAGAGCTGACAATATTATTCACTCTCCCAAGAAAAGGTAAGATGCTTATTTCCTATAACAGTTCTTATTAGAGCTATTTGAATTATGTTCTGCTCAATTTAAGCTTACAAAAGCTATACAGTTCCATCTGCCTTTTCTAATTTTCCTCAGTCCACCTTTAATACAATTTTACTACAATCCACATGGTTGAAATTTGTTTTGAAACTTCATAGTGAACATCCCCCCAAAATAAAATATCTCCAAGAAGGAAAAAGAGTGTCTAGGTTCTATTCTTCTTCAAGACTTTGATCATTCCTTTCAATAAGCTATGCTACTGCCATGGCCACAGTTCTTTAYAGTCTCAGGACATATGCAAATATTACAGCAGAGAAAAGAAATATACATAAAAAACTGAAAAACAAGCTTGTGAAAAGTCGGAGTCAAAGTGTGCAAGATGCAGCTTTCTTTTACTGTTACTACTCAATTCAGATCTGCTTGAWTAATTTTATAGGACAAAAATACACCAAGAAGAAAGAGGAATATATCTAATTTCCTAATATTTTGTCCATCTTATATATAAAGAGCTTAAAATATTCCTTGCCATTATCAATTCATTTACATTGTTTATTTTTGTAAAATCATCATGCTGGAGAGTAAAAGGATAATAAACTTTTTGAAGGAGTGAAATACATATATTCCCCTTGTGCCATTTTTGAGTACYTCTTGCCAGCACTCCAAAATAAATTACAGGAGTAATATCTGGCTTTCTCCAGATCTAAATGTCATTGCATTATACTAACAATAAGAACCACATTTGTTCCACAAATAAAATGAATTAGTATTAATAACATAAAGAAATTTCATATTAGGACACTGGAGAAATTGAGTCAAATCTCTCTGCTGTGAAACACATTATCTGTATCAAGTTAAACACCACACTGGAGAGTACTTTGCAAGTTCCTAAGAATGATGGAATATTTTGAAAAARCAAAGTCTTTAGTACAGCAAAAAAGAAATGCTTATTTTGGAAATTCTTTTCAAAAGGAAAAGAATTGGTTTTTCAAAATTATTTTCAAGAGGAAAACCATAAGTTTAAGATGTTATGTTTGCTTTTACATATTATTTTATCACTACARTAATATATAGGCATTAAAAATAAAAGCATTTATTCCATTTTTCTGCTGTATTTCAAAACGTGTATTTGTATAGTTGCAGATGACTTTAGTGGATGTAGGGACCATAACTGAGGATAGAATTCCCTTAGAAATAGCCAGTCTTCTGAGAAGTCAGGTCTAAACTACACCTATGCCTGGTCAACAAGGTTATTCATCTTTTTTTCACTTCAAAGTCAGAAACGTTTGTGTGTGTTTAATCTTCACATCACATAACATTATATGGCAAGGAGAAAWACAGTCTGTATTAGGCAAAGATTAAATCACTACAGTAACCCCAGAGCAAGAAACATCCAAACTATGGTACTACTCAGAAAATGAAGCAGCATGCTGTACTATGGCTCACAGTCAAGACAGAAAAGTTAAGTCTGATGATAATGCCTTTCTGAACATGGACWTTTTGGGGAAATTGAAAGGGTCTGCGTGATTTTGACAGCTGTCAGAGCTGGTTTGGGGAACACTGCACTGTCACGTGGAAGCCCTCAAAAGAACAGGTACAGCTGCGCTCTACAGCAGCGCTGGTGAACAGTTCCACATGCGCCAGCCAATCACTCTATTCAGTTTTCTAATAGAGCCTTTTATATCTGCTTTAATATTCCCAGAATTTCCGGTGCTCTGCCATCGAGGCCTGCCCCTAATACACTCCTCTTTTAACAAGACATCTTAAAGCACTGTCTCAGTACTGAATTAGAAGAAACCTGTAAGAATRAACTTAAGAAACACCATTTTCAATGTCTAGATTTTCACTGAAATCAAGGCACATCTGATCGCTTTCARTTCATAGAAAGAGAAGAAAGAAAGCCACAGACTGGTTCTGCTAAGTTCAAACTACTTTAGTTTTATTTAGTTTATTCAATAAAGAAGCTCTGCGTTGTCACACACAACAAATAAAATGGAACAAGCTGTCATGTTACTGAACATTTATTAGTTCATCTGATAGTCTAGATATTTCAGAATGTTACACAATGTTCTGCAGCCCAGGGAGTGCACAACTCATGGTTCACTGAAGTCTGAAGCAATGAAGTGATGACCTACATTCAATCCTACACTGCTGTCAATGGGAAGAGGCCAAAGGCAAGAATGAAGGGCAGCGCAAAAAGAAGAAGCAGGCTCCTCTTCCTCCTCTCCATACCATGCCTTCTTCCCGTCCTTCTCAACCGTTAAGGGCTAATCACTAGCTCATGTCATATATTCAGTCTGGTATTGGCAGCAGGAACAGGGTTGTAGGGCACATAACTGTGTTTTACTGCAGCGGTGCTAGAACATCACTGAGCCATAATTTCTGTGTGACATTGTGCCTGAATCTCAAACATCTCTGGTGATCGTTTCAAGTGAAATGTACCTCTGTACTGCCAAGTTGTACAAGCCACTGCTCAAAAATGGCTATAAATACGCTAGCAAACAGAACAGACAGTAATATTAGGGATTCTTTTCACACAGCCTTTGACATCACAGTGTTTTACTGACACAATGATCTTGAGGACATGAGGAATCTAAGTTTGAAAAGTTTCACTGCTTTCTTCTTATTTAAAATTTTGACTATCAAAGTATTAGATGAGCTGATTCAAATCTGGAAAAGTTCCACTGCTCAATTCATAAAAGTATTATCTAATCTAAAAATTAACTAATTTATAAATATATATGTATATATATTAAATATGATCATTATTAAAAACAAAATGGTACATAAATTCTAGAAATGCTAAACAGAACTCTGATATTCCATTCTACATAGGAAGCATTACAGAAAAAGTGTCTGCCCTAGCATACCACAAGAGAAAGAAGACACTAGAAAAATCAGATGACAATACAAGTTCAGATAAAGATTTCTGAATCGTGACGATGTCTCTCAAATTTTACATATGGGTGATGAAAAAGAGAGAAAAAAAAGAAAAAAAGGGGGAGGTGGTATTAAGGAGAGAGAGAACAAAACAAAAAAGCAAAACAAAAAAACTTCTTCATTATAGAAGGAAAGAGATTATTTATTTCCAAAGTGTTAAATTGAACTTGCCATAAAATTGATCAGACCCCTCTACAGTTTGAAATACCCTAAAGCAATTATTGATCAAAAGCAGTGAATGTGCTACAGACCATACCTCTGTACCATACTAAAAAGAAAAAAAGAACTAAACTGTGTTTAAAACATATTTAACTTCAAAATACACTCAAGCACTGAGTTAATGACTGTGTGAACTGTTGGAGGAAAGTATATGAGGATAGATTATCTTCAGGAAAACATACCTGGCTAGATTGAATGCATCATCGATCAAGCCTGCTCGATTACTGACAGAGATAACCTGTGAGGGGTAGTCAGAAAAATGGAGTCGTTTAGGATGATAAAACAGTGAAGCTTCACTTACCAAAGAACACTTCAGGGATGAGAAGAGGAGCTTACCTCATGGTTCCTTGTTAGCTGATTAATTAACAGCCTCCAATTTCTAATATCATAATTAACTCTAAAGTAGCCAGTCTGGTTGATGTTTCCCAGCAACCAACTTGCTTCTTCTAAAGCAGGAATTCTGTGGTGTTCTGGAAAGAAAGAACAAAAGGGCAAGGGGGTTTGGTTTTAACCTTAAAATTTCAAAAAAAAAAAAAAAAAAGTTACTTTTCTCCTTCTGTAAAATACACACAGGATAGTAAAATTGCACTTAACTGCACTTAGTAAAATAGTAAAAAAAAAGAGACTAACAAAAATATCATTAGTAATGTGCTTTGTTTAGAATTTTCTTTTTCTGTTCTAATATTAAGAGACACTAGCTGGCATTCTTATGGAGACCTTCTATCAAACATTGAGCTTCAAGGTGTCTTTCTTTTTTTCTGGCTAATTTTAAGAGGTATCCATTTAAGTCTGGCACACTGATTCTAGAAATGCGAAAATAATACTATAATTCTAATAATAATTTTGATGAATCTATAGAGAGAGGACTGAAACCTTGATTCAAAAAAACAAAATGTTTCTTAAGTGTTTTTGCATGTGGTTGATGAAGCCTTTGTTATTGGATTTTAAGTTAAAGTGTTTCCAGTTATACAGATTCTAGCTACTAAGCACTGAGATGCTCTCCTTCATAACTAGCAATATCAGCTAACATGTTCTTCCTCTTTCCCCTAAGTAATCACAYAGAGGTTGAAATCATAAGCTTATTTTGATATTTGTACAAGCTGCAATTCAGATAGTGCAAAACCATACGCAGGATGGGATTTCAGCAACAAAATACCTTGAACTCAAACCACTCTTTCACTACAGAATGAAGTATCAGGCTTCAATGTCTCTTGAAGAATCCTTCAACTTGCGATATCATTCTGACATAACCAATTGTGAAATAGAAWGCTCTAGTTTCTACTTTTTCACTTTTTCTACTGTAATCATATTAGTCTGTATACTCTTGAAAGAGGGGAACAGCCTTCTCACATTTTAAGAATAAAAAGCAATATGCAAAATTTGTTTTAAACATAATTACAACAGGAAGCTAATCAGTGAGCTTGAGTTGCCTGRAAGTAATAATGAAAAAAAAAAACATTTACAATATGGTCTTCACAATTAATATATACCATCTATTACCTAAAATATGAGAGAAATAGATCTGTTCACAGTCTTTCTTTAAAAAAAGTAATTTCTTAGGAAAGAAAAGATGATTAGATCTACAGATAAACATTATTTATTCCCTTGACTAAATCACCCTAGCAGACACACTAATAAGCATGAATTTAGGTGCAAACATAAGAGACCAATCCTAAAAATACATAATTATGTGTTTAAATTCATGGAGTTCTGTGAATTCAGATAAAGTTGCAGGATTAAAAGAAGAAGATGAAGAAAAAAAAACTCTTCTCAGCTAGATAGTTCAGAGATCATTAAAATCTTAGAAATATTAGTTTTGGAAAAAAAAAAAGAGTTGTTACCTATAGAATTTAATTCTGTTATTATTCTTTGAGGATTTATCTAACTGACTTCCACCAGCTCAGTTTAATTATTTTATATAAACTGTTGAGAAAAAAAAACTGACCTCTGTATTTAGGTAAAATATTAGTTTGCTTTGATAAAGTGCCAAGTAGACCTATCCTTTGTGTGCTAACATATCCCGCAGAAATAGTACTAGAGTGAAAAAAAAAGTCCTACAACTGTGGGATTCCTGGCCTTGGGAAAGGCATGCCAACTACTAGGTTGAGAGAAATAGGTAATTAAGACTAGAACATACAAAGGCTAATGAACCGCAAGAAGATCTGCACCAGCTCATTAACAGGAAAATGTCCCAAACTATGGGGCATGGCTAACTAATCTTTCAAAAGCAATAATGTAGCCTTATCTAATGGGGACAAAGATGGCTTTCCAACTCAATATTTTCACTTGTGAACCACCTTGATGGCCTTTCCCGCAGAGTCCAGTTAACCAATTTTCCTACTGTCTAAGCATCCGAGTTGCTTTTGATGCAGTATTATTGGGAACAAGGCTTTAAGACTTTGTGTCCTTACTCCCACAAAGCTTTGTTAAACACTGTGCTATAGCCCTAGCTTAGCCCTAAACAAGCTCCATGACTGTTCTGCTGAAGTTGCTACTCTGTCTAAATACTTGATTCACCAGACTTGAAGTCAGAACTGCGCCTCTGCTCATGTCCAGAATACTTACGGAACACCTGAATTCTGATTCCTGTGAATATTCAATTACTTTATACAAAGAAAAGTATTAACTAGAGACACTATAAAAGATGACAAAGACAACTTATAGCATAAAGGCAAATACCTTAGAAGGGCTTTGTTTCACATGCCTCCTGTAACTCAGGGAGGGGAGAAGGAACTTGAATCTGGATATATCACCTCCTATTTAATTTTCCCAGCCTGGTGCTGTGACCAGCCTGACACCACCATGTTCTCCATCAGCCTAGTGGATTTGTTAAAAGCAACTACAAAAATATTGCAACTGCAAAAATATTCTATATCTACGAGAAATTGTTGGGAAAAAAACAAACTTTTAGAATTTCTTTAGGTCTTCAGTGCTGTATTGCCTTGTGGGGTGAGGTACAGAGCACTCATATGGCAGAAATTCCTACTTTATTATGTAGTACTGTGTTCTCTTTATGTTTTTCTATTAGCAACTCCCCCTTAAATGCCATCATAGCTGAAAATAGCTGCTGAAACTGGTTAATGCCTGGCACCTCTATCCTACCTGAAAACCTATCAAATGGACTATAAGCACATATTCATCAACAATTGAGTAAATAAATACATATAACAGAAAAATTCAATATCAGATGTTATAAAACAAATGCACACGCTTTTTTTTCTTGTTGGAGTATTTTCATTTAATTTTGATCTCTGAAGTGAAGAAATTACTTGCATTCTGCAATACAATACTGAATGATACTTGACAGTCAAATATGACAGCTTTAAAATAACCTATTCCATAAATGGCAGCTGTGGAACACAACAAAGACATATTGCTCTAATTGAGAATAGTATCTTTTCAAAGGCTGATAGCATTATTACTGTTTTGGTCGGTTTTAAATGCAATCATAACCCCTTGCTATTATTTTTTGATAGGGACACTCATGAGTTGGTCTTTTTCTGAAATACAGGACAGGAATCTTTGAAGCTTTTCTAGCTCATATAAGCAGGTGGTTATTTTAAGGGACTGTCTGGTGCGTATGTTTCACATAGTTCTATATAATTTACTGGAATTCAATGTTTGAGTCTGTCAATTCTAATGCCTTCCTATGAAAGAAATTCTTTTTCTGGTAAAGACAGTCCTGCAAATTTCTATACACATGGGTAATTTCTCCACTTTTCACAAATACATCTGTTAGTTTCCTGTTAAAAGTACTATTGTTAGGAAAAAAGGCAGTCATTCTATGTTAAACCCCATGTTAAACCATTCATGACTTTCAAAAAGAAAAACAAAAAAAATCATTTGGGGAGAAATCTGTCTTTGACGAGTTTAGTTCACCTTTTCAAATCTAAACTATACATACAGATAGACTTGAGATTAAAGAGAATTTCTTTAATCTTGTTCCATTTCAAGAAGAAATGGTTATTTTTTACAACATTTGTTTTAAAAGCAAAAAAAAAGTCAATTAAGGTTTGTTTCCCATTTTCCCTTCTCTGAAAGTGTGAAATAGTCCTCCAAGCTAAGAGCACATTGCTTGAATATTAGAACTATCACATAGAGCTCTGAGCAGTTTCGACTCTCAGCCAAACGAGTAAGAGTGGTGGAACACTGATCATGCGCTCCGCAACATGAGCACCATGTGAGTTTGGTCTGGGCAAATGACAATCCTCTGAAAGAAACTACTCCAATGCTGTGAGTCTGGGCTACACACTGTTCTACCAGTTCAAATGTTCAAACTCTAAGATGTTACTCTTTTTTTTTTTTTTTTTTTAATTTCATAAAACTCATAGCATACTAGGAATTTGATTTATAATTGAAAAAATCTTGCTAGCAAAACATACTTTTCTTTCCTATAAAAATTATTGCACAAATATAACACAATTTCATACCATCAAGAGCAAGTAAATATTTTCTGATGAAGAAAATGTTTAAAGAGGAATTTCACAGTAATGACAATATTTTGTGGAAACTTTTTAAACTGGGAGATGGAAAATCAGAAGTTCTTTCTATCATCTCACTTGCCATATTGCTTTAATTCCATGTTGAAAACACATTTTGCTATAGTGAACAATATAGTAAACAGAACATACCAGTAAATACGTTTGTGTTCTGTGTCACATGATCTTCCCTTGGTCTATTTTGCCATTATTACCACTCTTAGGCTGTAGAATTGTTAATACCTAAGATGATGTTAGAAAAGTGCAAGAAGCACTTTTAGGATCTTGGCTCAGCTTTTGGGATACAGGGGCACTGGTTCTGCTTCACTCTATTAAAACGGTGCCAGGATTGTAGGTGCTGTATCCTCAGTCTTCCCTAGGGCTGACTAAAGCTGTAAAGCAGGACCTGTTAATTTATTTTGCTTCACAGTATTTTCTTTCCTCCCCTTTCAAAAGATGAAAGAGGGGAGTGTGAAAGCAATTCAAAACAGGCTCCGCAGCCATCTGATTCTCAGAGTAGGGGAGAAAAAAAAAARGGGTATTTTTCTAATACTGCACTAACACCACTCCTCAGTGGACAGCAAGCAAATCCCAGCTCGGAAGCAGTTGTCTTCTACAAAATAGATCAGCCAAGAGAATCAGACAGTCAAGGGACTTGCAGCAAAAACAGATCAATCTTCTATCGCGAGGTGCTATATTATAGTAAGTTGTGATTCTTATCAGTGAGCCAGGTGCCCTGCTAAACTTTCTTTCCCACATCTCATGGCAATCCTGGATGTATTAAGGAGAAGAGTCCAAATGATCCTCTTTGCTAGAGGCAGAGATGTCCATCAGATAAATACTTGCCTGGCACACACCAAATCAGTCAAGGTACAGCAGGTGATGGTGGGAATGACAGAGAGACTAAACAGACATGTAAAGCTAATTCAGTCAGTTCAGTATCACTTTCTGAACCACATGAAGATGTCTACTCTCTGGAGCCTGTGGAACCACAGAACAGTTACGTCCAGTAWGCCTTTAACCAAAGCGCTGCTGTTTGCAATGGATGGCACCTAAAACTCCTCATGTAAGGTTAGGGTCACTGACTCTACATAGGACTATCCTTCCACACTTACTACTCTTTGGGAGCAATTGGCAGGACTTTCCTGTAAGCCCTGGTAGGCATTCAGGGAATGGCTGAATTCATAGTTGATCCCAGGAACAATACCTGTGTGTTACACATTTTTACACATAATTCCAAAACACAGAGGACACTATGTACATATACCATTCCTTGGAGACCTCAAAGCAAGCAAATTAATSTAGCAGAAACAGAAACAAGCTCTGGATCTGCTATAGAGCAGAGTGCACTAATGATTGCCACCATCTCAGCGAAAAATTTCATTCAGCAGACCTGCAAGATTGTAGAACAAACAGCACTGCAACCATCTTGGTGTGATATCTCTGACCTTAGCATGCACAGGAAGTTTATCATGAGATGATTCCTTCCCTCTTTGTAACTGGTCTAGCTTTCAGAGGCCATTCATTCCATCTCCAAGGCTATGCAGTGGCGGTCATTCCTCTAAGGCAGAACAAATCTTGCAGAACATGCTGCCCAGATATCAAGGAAGGGGACTATTCCCTTAGGATAGGCAACCTGAAACACAGTGACCTTTTCCATATTTCCTTTCCCCTTTAAGAGGAGTGTGTAGTTGCAGTCCAGAAGACAATTACAGGATATGCCAAGATCATAATGGTAGTCATCAATTTGGGACTTTTTCAACATTTGCAGCTAAAGAAAGATACGTGATCAGATCATAAAGAGAGCTGCCCATCACCTCATGTCCACTTTTCAGGTTGTACTGAAAGCTWCTTTAACACAGCAATTACTACAGCCAACAATAAGGAAACATCCCACTCCTTCCTTAAGAGAACATAAAAAGCCATGCTCATCAATAGCATTGTCTTTGCTACAAATGCAGAAGAGTAAAGGATTCCAGGAGCAATCCCGTAACAGATCCTATGACCATAGCAGAGAAAGATGAAAATATGAGAACATTTTCTCATCCCAGGTCCCTGTAACATTTGTGGGCTCCTGACACGTTTCTTTTGAAATGCTGTAAGTGGCACCCCTTTGTGAATGTGGAGACAAAAGAAAACCTACAATCAAAGCCCAATCAAAGCCCAGCCTCCACTATTGTGTGGACGGAGTGCATCATTTATTTATGGCATGGAAAGGCTGCAGAGAGCAGGACAGACCAGCCTGTCAGCTTGCATTTCTGGAAGCATAAAAGGAAACAACAAAATAGCTTGGCATGCAGGGTCATGCAAGGTCCAGTGCCTTCTTGTCACTCCCTCCTCAACATAACTTTGTCAGCACAGTGTTGATGTACAGCACTGATGGCTCTAGGATGTTCTCCCCAGTAAATAACTAACTCCATGAAAGAAAAACCCAAATTGTCCCCCAGGCAACCTTTTACTGTTTCTCCAGGAGACCTCTTATCACCATATTGGCAAGCAGCTATGGTCACCCCACCACAACTCAAACAGACAATGTGGTCCGCTCCCAGATTGCCAAGGATGGACTGGCTGCCTTCTCCACATTCCCATCATTTCCATTGTCTTTGATTTCCAACATAAACCCAATCACATTTTTCTTTCTTTTACTCTATATGCTTCTTCACTGTTCTCTCCTTGGCCTGACACTGAGATTTCCCAGGCTATCTCAAAGAAAATTGAAATCCAGACAGCTTTGGACACATACAATACCTTTTTCTAGGTCAATAAGTTAGATTCATTTATTCATTCAGAAAGTTGTATTTCAGCATTTCCAAACAGATTTTTTCCCAGGTATTTTGACATGTTGGTATTTCTTCTTAATTGTAGAAGAAAAAAAGAACACTTCAAAACTGGCTTTTCCTTTAGGATAGCAAATTAATTTCCCAAGCAGCAGCAACATCACTTCTGTGATATCTATTTAGTTAGAGCTGTACATTTTTGTGCGCAGGTAAGACATAAAAGACTGTCTACATTTTRCCTTAGCTTAGATCCTCAGATTCCTTCTTTCCCTTTTACTTCTCTCCTCTGAAGGATGCTTCAGACGACATCATAAAAGATATGTCTCTTCTCTGAAGGATGCTTCAGATGACATTAAAAATGGTAAGATTAGGAACCTTAACTGGACTTCTCGCTTTCTATCACATTACTTTGCAGACTGACACTTGCAGTGTAATTCTTTTCACCAAATTTAGACAACTTTGATCTGGATAGAGTGTAGAGAGGAGAGGAGCATTCACTTCTTTTACTGAAACATCTTTTGTTAACAGTCAGATGTACTGATAGACTATGGAAAAATGGCCTATGCCAGCACAGGAAGCACCTATTCCTGTCCATAGATATCCAATAAATATCCAAGTATAGCTTTCTATGCTGTAGATAGCTAGGTGAATCAAACCTTCCTGTATCTTTTTATCCCTGTTTAAATCCAGAATTATGAAAAGTCCAATAAATTTGATTTATGTGTCTGCATTCAAATACATTCACTTGAAGAGCAGTGCAACTGATCCCAACCTTTCAAATATCCTCTAAAATAATCCGTTTCACCTCCAGCCTGCAGAGTTGTTTTTAGATTACTCTCTGCTACAACACCAAAATATGTGTCCTCTGTACAGTGGAAACTCTTTGGGACTCTTCCCTCCCACTAAAATTGATCCTGGAAACTGCCCATTCCAATCTCAGAATGCCTTCCAGATCCCCAGAAATCAGGTATATCAGCTGAAAAATAAAAACAAAACAAAACAAAAACCCTTCAAGAATATCACAGAATCATCAGCAGCAGGCCTGATGCGTAACAGCATATATAATGAATCATACTGAGCACATCCAAGGATATTCTCAGCACATTCAGGAATGTTCTCATTGATTTTTTATGTTGAGGAATCCTCCAAGTGAGCCAGACAACAATAAGCAAAGGCATGATGACATCCTCACTGTACTCGTAAGTTTACAGTCTCTAAATTTTTAATGAGACGCAGCAAGTGACTGAGTGAAAAAGGAATGAGGAAGGACAAAGACAATGACAACAGATCATACTGGCATTGATTAGCTACACAGGAAACTAACGACTCGGATCACTGTGAAAGCTTCATTTTTAATTCTTTATAACGAGCACTCCAAAATCCTGCTCAAACTGGTCATCCTTAATTTGTTAATTTCTTGTAGACATTGTGGTAGGAATAGTTAGCTATCCTAGATGTGGCTTCATGGATTAGTTCCCCCACAGTAAGAAAAAGGCAATGGGGAAGCAACTTTGCAGGTAAGAGAAAATTACATTCTGAACTTTCAAGGCAGGAATGAAGGGAAGGAGACATGCATGTACGATCTAATGAGCTGAAATAAGATGAGATGAAATGATCAACTCTCCCTGAAGTCAAGGGGAATCTCACTATTAATTTCAGTGAGAGCCCTAAACCACAAGAGCAGAAGAGGTCATTAGGGCTGGCTGTAAAAGGGCCAAGACATCTTGAAGTTTTCTGCAAGTGTTAATATTAAAAAGTATGAAAAAAAGTTAGAATCTGATAGGTTGTAAACAATCAGGGTGAAAAAACACATACCTTCAACCACTAGAAAGCTGGGATACTGTATTTGCCATTCACTTCCGATCCTGTTGGCTGCTAAACTCTATGTGAATATTATCTTTACACTACAAGAAGGGGTCAGTTTTCCCTCTCATATGGATGTAGGCATCAAGGGGATGCATACCCTTATTTTCCCTTCCTTAGAATCATTTTATTCACGTCTCCACATTTCTTTCCTCATCAGTTTAAAACTGTCGGATGTAACCAGAAAATAGAGAAAAAAATTACAAAATTTCTCTGGTGGGCTCCTTTTATCATAGGGGATAGAAGAGCACTGGTATCCAGCCCTAGATCTGGTATCCTAGCCCTTCAGGGCAGTAGCTACCATGACCATGTAGGAACTGAGGAGGGAGTGACAATTAGAGTGATGCAGTTTCAAGGTCCAGTATGTCTTTATCTAAGTAAGGATAACAAATACTTTGACAGATCATTAAGGATACTTTTTGAAGACAATAAACATTTCTTAKCACTGGTTCAGACTATTCAGACACAGAATTACAAAACGTCAGAATTCTAAATATTTTGCACTTACTAATTCAAACTCATTAAATGTTTTGCTGTAAAAGTATTACAATTAATTTTCACCAATCAGTAAAGAGAATTGCATTCATCAGTAAGTTGATATGTGTTGCTAAATATAAAACATTTGGTACTTAGGTACACATTTCTTTGTAAAAGCTTTCCATTGTACTATCTAGCTTCTGTGAAAATTATTAATCATCCTGCTTGGTGTTTATCCTTTCTTCCTCCTCCCTCCCTTCCCAACTCTCCTGTTTGCAATTCATTTCAAGACTGGGTGCAGAGCAACTAAACAATTATCTAGGATCAATTCCAAAGAAACATTTGAGGAAAACACAAGTATGCTTTATGAGATTCCACTGGGAGGAAAGTTTATTTTTACCTGATTTGTTAGACACCCATATAATTGCCTCTGATGAGATGTGGCTCGTGTTTCCTACTGCAATTGTTAATGGAATCTGCCACAAGTAGCTGCAAGAAAAAGGAGGGGGAATCTAAGAACAAAAATACTGAACTGGTTCTTCTCACAGCAATCAGGGATCATGTCAAAAAAATCATAACACAATTTCAGTAGCAGTGTAAAGATGTGGATTCTAACATGTTACTTGGATTCTGAAATGCATTTGCTATTAGTAATAAAACAATGAAGAAGTCATTCATCTTAAAAAAAATGAATTCTATTTAACGATTTTCAAACACTCTCATCACGAGGCCTTTTTTTTTTTTTTTTTTTTTTTTGCAAGCCTTTCCTAATTTAACAAAAGAGGAAATAATTTTCCATAGAAAGAAGAACACTTTTCACATTCATTCAAGAAAAGAGAACCTCCAAGTTAAAACATACTTTGGTTTATAATGACTGCTAAGGTTTTTTTTTTTTAAAGAAACTATCCTTCCTGTAACATCTTTAAAAGTTATGATGGCCTTTCATAATTGCTTCTCTATAAAATAAAATGAATGTGATGGATTATCTACTTCTTTGAACCATTTGTGATAACTTATATGTATACAGACCTCAAAATATCCTACACATGAATTTGGAGATACTCTGGTACTATCAGACTTCAGCTTTTTAAACAGATTATCATACTTGGGATAAATGTTTCAAATCACATAAGATCTTATAGCCTTTTATCTCAASTTTATTATTGCATGAATTACTGCATGAATTCTGTCTTTGGAGGAAGGAGGAAAAGATGGATTCCTGCATGTCCTCATCACTATCTCTATTCCTGAATTCCCCCAAACCTCTCCATCTCAGTATCTAATGAAAGAACAGACATTTCCCTCTCAAGCCTGCCATATCATTTTGTACACTGGCCTGAAAACACTAAATAATGGCACAAGAGATCCCTTTATGTAGGGAGTACGTGTGAAATAAGCATGGCATGAGGATGTCCCCTAACCTAGGTATCACCGCACACTTAGGTCAGCTTAGCATGCAAAGCTGTTTTAGACTGATTCATTTAAAATGGTGAAAGTACGGAGGGTAGCAAGTTTCAATGTCTACCTTAGCTCTTCTTCTGCCAGTACACAGCACTACAAAATCAGCCTGTGGTTCCAAAAAAGTAGCCCTTCCTGTAGCACTGCTCATTTCTGCTTACTCAGAAGCTTGCTCTACTGAACACCACCCAAATGCAACACACAGTGTCCTGTGACCTGCTATGTTCTGCCCGGGAACACATCTGTAGCAGTGCTCTGGTAATCACACGTATCATGCAACAGGCCACCACATTCCCTCTATGGGTACTCAGTAAGAAATGGTATTATACAGTAATTTATGTTCTCTGCTACTCTCATTTCATCATTTGCTTTTTTTGCTCTCATTTCAGGGACTAGATCCAGCAAATACTTCAACACAGGAGTAACTTTGCAGCTGCCAGGGCTGGAGCCAGGGCTGACCCCCAGTCCAATGGAGCTGCCTTCASCTGAGGTTCTTGTGGTTGGTCCCCACCTGAGCTACAGCTCTAGTACCATCACAGCTGTGTCCAATCCTGACCGTGACCTGCAGGTGCCTCAGTCCAGCCCAGCGGCTCTGCCTGACCACCACGGGGCTGTCTGTGACCAATTACTCTCACCAAGTCTGATCTGGACCCCAACTTGCTGACTCATGTTCCTGACTTTACCTTGGATTTGTCTGGGGTCCCGTTGACACTAATTACCATGCCAGGGCTTACCTGTTCACCTCGCTCAAGGGCTGTGGGATTAGGCCCTCACTGGGGAGGTCCATATCCTTGCTATCGTGCCCTTGCTCCTAACTGCACATCCCTTTGGGAGCAGYCAGCCCCAAAGTGCTCTCTGGTGCTTGATTTCTCACTTGCACATGACTTTGCAGCATTCASAAGGGAACCATATATGCTGGGAGACAATTTTCCATAGAGAGGTGATTCAGTAGAGTAGGGGAGATATTTGGAAAACTGCACAGCTGAAAGAGCAATGAGTGACACTAGAAGGAAAACATGGCATTTTGTGGGAGATGTCCCACAAGTGTCCCATGTGATTTTTGACTGAATATTCATCTCATGACACACACTGGGAAAACTAATAGATTCACTCATGTACCAGAGACATGCTCTCTATGAGTACATGGTCTGGTAGACACAATCTAGATAACCCAACTGTGTCATCTGGGCATGCCACAAYCTTCATTATTCTGCTTTACCTTCTGCTGGAGGTTACCACTCTCTAGAGCATAGTCAGCAGAAGGGGATGTTCAATGATGCTTTAATTTCACCAGTTCCCAGTCTGGTGTTTTCATACAAAGTGATCTTCATTGTCGACTTTTTACTAATATTCTGAACTGTGGAATGAGGTGAAAATTTGCACTCTCTTCTGCTGTTTCTGTTACAATAGCAGTAACTTCTGGGCTTAATAGATAAGGATAGTCAGGAGTTGCTGAAGATTCACTGGAGAACACTCTCTGAAATAATTTTCACCTTACAAAACACCTATCGGTGTGTAAGAATCTTCCAATTTCTGGGAAATATATAGCTCTAGAAATACACCCAGTTATAGATACTCAGCTCTCCTATATGAGAAAGGTCATATGGGAAAGACTGACTCTGACCAAGAAAAAATGAGGCAAAATTAAGCACAARTCTAGTACATTATTTGTAAGAACAGGGTCTTTGGTATATGAAAATGAAAGAACTGCATTTGCATTATAGTTTTATGTTTCCTGACATCAATTCCTAGCAAAAAAAAAGACTATTCTGCAAAATAAAATGACTGACAGGTGTAATTTTTTAATTTATACACATATATATATATATACTCATACACATACACACATGTGTATAAACATATGGAGAGATACTTGTTATTCTGAGAAATAATTTTGTAAAAGTACACTGTGCATTATAATATCTGTACAGAGAAGTATTTTATATCATGTTTTTATTATTAAATATTAAACTTTTACTTAGAAATACACAAAAACATTACCATATACAAGTATCAGTATCAATAAGTAAGTTTTTCATTTTACAGATATATTTCAATTTTCACAACAGCTTCACGCTTTTTTTAACTACGAACCGTGTTAAGGCTAGGACTCCTCTAGAGGAAACATTCTTTGAGCAGGAACCCTTCTTTTTTTTCCTTTTGTCTTTTTTTTTCCTTGTATGGCACCATTCCCTTGCCCGGTTTATCTCRCAGACTTTCTGCTTGAGGAACAAGAACAGGCTGCATTCTCTGACTGGTCTCAATCCCACAGACCCCCACCTTCATGTCTGCAGAGATGTCTCCCATTAAGGCAAGAGGAGTCACATAAGCCAAGCATCTTCACTAAACAGGTGTAATTTAGCTGGGAGAATTGGTAGATACAATTTGAGTTTTTATCTTCCCAAGATCACAATTCTCCTAATAATCTCAGGACTCTGAAGAACCTATAAATCTCATCTCCTCGTTTACCAGGTTAAATAGAGATTTCCTTGTAATGGACCTCCCCATAAATACATTTTTTCTACTTACACTCCTGCTCCTTCCTGCATGTTTATCTGCTTTCTCCCCCCAGTCCTCTTCATTTTGCTGAAATTTTAATCTCTTTTGCAGCAGAAATCTTAGGATATTTTTCTCTTTACTATTATCCTTATGTGGCAGGGATTTATCTGTGTCACTTCTCAAGAATATTATTGGGGACGACTACACACCATCTCTGAATGATCGATACAGGCTCTACTCTACTCTCTCTACAAAAAAGTTTGCCTCTTCCTATTCATACCTAGGTTTGCCTCTAGGAAGAGGCAAACTTTTTTGTTTGTTTGTTTGTTTGTTTTTTGCTTCCTATTGCACTCTTCTGTTTTAAATAGAAAGCAGAAAAAGGACTTGCTCTCCTTTTTTTTTCCTCCTGCTTTGCCTGGAAGTTGTGCACACTAGTTCATTTACTCTTTTATATGCTGGGAATACCATGAGCATACTCTCTGTACACTATCTATCTGGCTGGGGATAAGAAGAACACTGTTCCATCTGTTTATGTGCTACCTGCCCTGACAAAACAATTCCAGTAAAAATATGAATCCTGTCTTGAAGACACAGGAATCAGGACAGCAGGACTTAACCCTTTTGGTCTTCCTACCCCAAGAATATGTCTGCAAGGATGCAGACATCAGGATGTCTATTGACATAGCTTATAACCAGGGTGAAATGGAGTGTGATAGCTATCAGACTATATGCCCTATTCCCCTGTGGCGCTGCAGAGCTTCAGAGGTATCTGCACATCATGTCCCTCTGTATTTGAAGTTAATTACACAGGGAATTCACAAAGATAATGTGGGGAATCTGAGAGCTGTTTGTGAAATGTGAAGAACCACTTCTGATGAGGAAGAGATACATTTAAAATTGGACAGGGTAAGTATGAACTACACTGTACATAATACTGTTCGGTCATAAATATCTTGAAGAGATGTAGGTAAGACAGATTTTATGGAAAGGTCAAATAAATAAGCCTTCAACTTCTGGTCTGCTTGTGAGAAACTGTTAACTTAAAGTAGTTAAATTTATATTGCTGGGATAACATTAAAGGGAATACACTGGGGGAGAAGAAAAGCAGCATAACAATACATAACACATCAGTATTASTATCTCCACCAATACATTAGTCCATTAGTATCTCCGTTCAGCTTACAAAGGAATTCAGAGGGACATGTTTGATATAGCAATACATTTTTTTCAGCTGTGGAGATGCATGTAATACCAGAACCGAGCTAATTATGACCCGCTTGGATTATATAGAGGTTTTTTTGTCTTGAGCATTATATTATGACTACATAGCCAGTATTAGTGTACTTCATCTCACTCAAAAACGATCATATTTTTGATGAGTACTTGCTTATCCCTTGACTTTAATAAATAAGAACTGAGATCCCTTGGTGGGCAAATTCATAGACCATAAACTATTAAATAAACATGATGCTTCACACTTTTCTGTGATGAATAACAGTGTCACAGTAACATTGGATTTTCAGTGGAACAAT